TAACAAAACACAGAGTAATTTAAATAACAAAAAAGGATCCCAAGCACAGACAGTGGAGGAGGAGAAGAAAATGTTGTTCAGTTGAGGAATGTCCAAGCTGATTCCCCCACGCTCACCTGGAGTCTCCGACCCCCAGATCTTCCATAGGGAAGATCAGACCTTTTGGTGCTAATTCAGAGTTATGCACCATCCCCATGCTGGGACTCTCCACCTAAGAGACCTCTCCCAGCCCAGCTCCCACACAGCCTTACCGCAGCTCTCCCACGCTGCACTAGACCACTTACAAATCCAGTCGGGTCCCTAATCTCCAAGATCATTTCCAACTAGGGCTTCAGAAAACAAGATCAGACTGCCATCCTCCCCTGGTACTGCCAGCAACCAGGTCTCTCACCGAGTGTCCCTCTAAAACCATCCACCTCCCCGTGGCCCCGGCACATTTTACAAAGCACCAGGAAAAGCAGTGGGGTCTGAGAGGAGCACATACTCTCACCAATCTGTACCTGCTGAAAGAAGGAAGCCAAGGCCCAACTGAAAAAGCCCCTGCAATGGGACAACTCTTTAGAGGGAGATCCTAGAGCACGCAGTAGCTGTGCCAGCATCCTTAAGATTTTACAGATTTTTACAGCTACCATAATCAGAGCCCAAACACCGGGCCACGGGGTGTGCACGTCTGCACGTACTGAGCGGGCACTACATCACAAAGGACTGCCAACATTTCCTCCCCTGGCATTTCAGCAGGGAACATCCACAGCACACACACACAGGTGGGAAATGGGAAGGCACTGCCAAAAGATGCACCTGCTTTTGCAGATAATTCCAGATGTGCCCTTCGTCAGCACATCTGCACCAGGAGCCTGACCTGCAGAGATGCCGAGCATCCTCAGCCCAGCGCTGAGAAGAGTCATGCCTACATTCTTTACAATTAGTAACATCTGCTCTAAGCACCACCACTCATCTCCACAGAAGAGACTCCACGCAAGCAGGTCACGGCAACTCAGGGCAGCCTGCCTGTCCTTCCCCCTTTGCTCAGCCGTTCATGCTGGGAGTCACAATCTTCCCTGGTTTCAGTCTCCCAGACTGTTTGCCTTCGCTCCCTCCCCAGATCGTCTCATAGCCTTCACACCTCCCTCCTCTGCTGCTGCAACGTCTGCTCTCCTCCACGCTTCTCGCTATCCACAGAGGCAGTTCCCAACTCAGGGTGGGGGAGATGCAACCCCTGGGGAAACAGCATCGGGTAGACAGCTGCATACAGCACAAGTGAATTTTCTTTCCTCCATTACCCTTCACAGGTCTCCTCAAAGCAGCCCCCAGGGGTTAAGAGACCACAGGATGAAAGCCACTCATCTAAAAGAAAAACCACAGCTCACAGATCCTTTTGTCCTCTCTCAGGCCCAAAGCGTTTCACCTGTCTGCTAAAAATCACCTCGCCAGGCCCAGGCTTCCTCTTCTCGTTCTGTCCCTGGACCTGGGGACCTGGACCATGTACCCCATGGTGCTTGGTCCCATCTCCAGCACACCAAAAAAAAGGCTCATGGCTGCTTCATCTTCAAAGCCCCCGTGCCTGGGCAGAGCAAGCACAACCATAGATACAGGAGGGACTTCCCTCAAGACACGGTTGCCCATCAAAATATAACAGAAGCTTTTTACACGCCAAAAGGTCTTTAAAACACACTGGGCACAGCACTGAGAACAAAGTGGGATTAGGCTCTGCTCCAGCCCCTGTGGCAGAGCGGTGACGACCACCCTGCCACACGCTGGCATGCTGTGCAGCAATCTCACCCCCAAGAGGCTCCACTCTCCAAACAGCCTCATGCATCCAATGCCAAAAACCAGCTCGTGCAAAGGTTTGGCAGTCCCAGGGCACACGTACAGGTCCTGACCACCTTCACAACACATCAGGCAGGAGAGGAAGAGCTGAGAGTGGCTGCAGTTGTCATATGGAGGGAGGGCTGCAAAGCTGGCTTCCCAGCAGTAAAAAAAAATTACCCCCAAACCAAGACCATACATCCAAACCCTGGTAGCCAAAATGGGGCTTAACCAGGCATGGGGACAGTGGGGGCTGATCTGAGCCCCAGCAGGGCGCATCTTCCTTGCCAGCATCCCTGGCCCTCTGAACAAACCAACGCACGTGTTCGCTTTGCCTCTGTGCGGGCTGCGCTCGCGTGGCTGACAAATAGCCTCTCTCCATTCTTTTGGGATTACGTGTTTCAATAGCCAGCGAGAAGGGGAAGCAAGTTCACCCGACCGCCAGCTGCGGGCCATGGTGCACCTTCCCCACAGCCCCTCTGCAGCACGGCCACCACCACCACCACAGCTCCCCCAGGTACCCACAAAATGCCGGAGCTCCTTCCCACGCTGAGCAAGCAGAAAAAAAAAAACTTTTGTACGCTCTGATCCGCAGCTCGTCGCCGGCAGCTTCCCCCTGAGGGCTTAATGTAGTTATTTCTACCCCTGATGCCTATAATTAAATGAACATTTCCTTATGGCACTGAAGAGGCCAAGGAAAAACTGACTACAGGGAATTTTCGTCCATTCTGATTTATACTCCCTCATCGCGGGCTCGTTCACACAATGCTAACGAGGAATCTTCTAAGCAGGCAGAAGGAAAAAAAAAGAAAAAAACAAACCCAAAAATTTAAATAGCCCACATGCAGACAAGCACCTGGGGAAACAATGAGAGGGAAGAGACCAATTCCCTCCCTCCTCCCCCCGGCTTTTAACCACATCATTTTCCTACTTGCAAAAGCAAAGGGGCTCAGATACCCTAGAGCCTGGAGAGGCGTTTCCACGCTCTGCCAGCAGCCCTGTGCTGCCCAGCAGTCTGATGGGACCTGATGAGGTGCAGGTCCCGTTTCAGCCCATCCCGCAGGTCTGTGGAGGCTCCTGATCCTGGGAAGCTCAGGGGAATCGCACTCAGCCCCTCCAGCTCTTTCCCTGGTTTTAACTGTACCTGTCCTGTGGGACTGGAGGAGCGAAGCTGGAGTGCATTGAACTATTCCAGACTGGAACAGATCCTAAACCACTGAGCAAAGCTGCTAGCCAAAACAGGGCTTGATTTATAAATTCCCAGCAGTCTGCATCTCAACTTCTGACCTCCCATCTCAGCAGGAGCCCAGGTGTCCAGAGATGCCTGGCCAACTGACTCCAGCCCTGCCAGAGCTGCCACAGCCCGCCAGGATTACCAGTTTCACTAGATTAGGAACTGAGCTGTCCCTCGCCTCCCACCCCTATGCCTCTCCCTGCTAGGACAGCAGAGAGGATCACAGGGAAAGCCAAGGACCCAAATCCTCCGTACCACCACCAGCTGGACAGCAATACTTGAAAGTTTCCAGCAGCCTCAGCAGAATAGGAAACGCACCCTCCCCTCTGCACAGCAGCATCAGCTGTGGTCCTTTCGGCCGCCTGATTTTAAAACTACCACGAGGTCCATCCCCTTCCTCCACAGAGCAAATGTAGCCTTCAAGAGATGGGGATGAAACCAACCCTTGCCAGCAGATTGGCAGAGCGGGAACATGGCATCTCCCCCCATGCACCTTGCCCTTCTCTCTGGAGGAGGCTGAGGTCTGGCAGAATTTGGGGACATGGGTCTCCTGCTGACATGCAGCTAAAGGACCTCTGCCAGCTGTGCCTGAGGTTTCCCCTAATGTGGACAACCTGCCTGGAGGAAGCCACAAAACTGGCTCCCTGCTCAGCTCTGGAAAGGTTTATTGCTTCTGTGCCACAGAGAATTGGCACAAAAACCCAACAGGTTTTCTGATCCATTTTGCTCTTTAAGCTCACTATTGTTTGTAAACCTAAAAGGCTTTATCCCTTCCCTTTAGGGAGCCCCAGGCGACAGGGGCGAGGCACTGTACACTCAGCTCACGGACAGAGCGGCTCCACAGATGACACATTCCCCCATGAAGGTTTTTGGGAGATGGGGGTAATAAGACAGACGCGCCAGGGGGCTGGATGTCACCGTATCACAGCTCGGTCGTGCTGGAAGACAGCGACTGGTTGGGAAATGAGCCCTTCCCTCCCTGCCAGAATGACTCAAGACAAAGACTCCCCCACTCTTTAAATGTCCCCGTTCAAAACTCCTGTTCCACGCTAACCAGATTTCTGTACAAAAGCGGTGGGGGTAGGGAGGGAGAGGACAATCTCAGCCTCACGGGTCTTTGGGGGGATCCCTTTGTTGGGAAATTTCCCCAGACTATTTAAAAATAGAAGCCGAGCCTTCATAACTATTCCGAGTATAATTATTCCGGCACTTAATTGCCTTTCCCTGGCACCCTACCTCTCCTCCAAATTTCAAGAGGAGGCTCTTGGGGAAACGCAGAGCAATTTGTGGTTTCCCCCTTCCTTTGTGCCAGTTTCGCGGTAGTTAGCAAAATTACCGCGACGCCAGACGAAGCCATCGATACAAGAGAAGGCGTTTTTGGGGCAGCCCCGGTGTAGCAGAGTCCACCCCGCCGAGCCAGCTCCGTGCCCCGTCCGGGGCGACCTCCATCCATCGCCGGCGTGCGGGGTCCTTGCGTTGCCAGCCCCGTCGCTGGGGCAGGGGACCCCGGCTGAGCCCCCCCATCCCCGTGGGTCAGACCCACGTGCATCCAGCCCCCCATGCCAGGAGCCCGAGGGTCCCTTCTCAGCCCCCCCGGGGGTCCCAAAGCTGAGACCGGCCACTCCGGAGGGCTCCGATGCCCGGGCGGGGGGCGGTGCCCGGTACCCAGGGAGAGCTCCGGGGTGGTGGACCCGACTCGGGTCCCGGTACCCGGGGGTCGTGGTGATGGGGATGTGCCTCCCGCACAGGTCCCGCTGTCCCAGTGAACTGGACCCATCGCCGGCCACCCGGGGTTGGGGGGGTGAAGGGGACAGACCCGCAGCCCACCGGGGGTCCCGGTGCCCAAGGAGAGAACAGACCCCCATCCGCTGCCCAGCCCCGCCGCGGGGGGTCCCGGCGGCCGGCCCGCCCCAACCCACAGGGATGGCGGCGACCCCCGGCCCCACCACCCTTCACTCACCGGAGGCCAGAAGAAGCAGCAGCAACGCCGGGGCCCGGTGCAACGGCTGCATGGCGGCGGCCGCTGCCCCTGCCGCGCCGCCTCTTCACGGGGAGCGGGGCCGCCCC